TGGGATTTTTCCAACAACCTGAAATGAATCTACAAGGCCCCACAGGTAGTGCAGCTCTGTCTCCCAGCCATAAACCATGGCCCGGGCTTTCATCTGCGATTGCTTATGTCATAAACGAGTGGGAGGAACAGCAACGGCCCTGAACCATTCCAGATTTTCTTTTCTTTTTACAAGAAAGGGGAAAGAAAGGCCCTGAGAAATGTGTTCCAACTGTGTGCCAAGCCAATTCATTTCACTCTGGTAGGCTGTGTGTGGAGACTTAATCTCAGGGCTTCCCCACTAGGAGTCAGATTTATGCTGTGCTTGTGTCTAAATGGCCTCCAGGGATGCTGACATTTGTTGTCGGGGAGCAGCGAGTGGTGTTCCTTTCATCTCTGCTGAGGGGTGTCAGCTTAAATGATGAGGGATCGCTCTGCCTGCATCTGGGTGTGGGAGTCTCTCGCATGGAGAGACAGAGAGGGGCCGCTGATCCCTCTGCCCCACTTCTCTGCTGTTTGAAGGTTTTTCTTCATCTTCTGCTCCCCAGTACTCCTGCTGGCTCAGGATGAAGTCTGCTGGAGCTTTTTGAATTTTCCTTTCTGTTGGACAAATTGTTAAGTGTGGATTTCAGGCACTGAATATGTTCACGGGGAAGCTGGAACCCAAGAGTCTGGCAGGCCTGCCTTGCTGAAAGGAAAGGCGGCGAGACTCCCAGTGAATGTCCCTGAAATGCTTGGAAATTCCCCAAGATAGTCGGGGGAAGCCATTATGACCCCCAAATTTACACACAATAGCAGGAGCTGGGGGATGGTCAGCTCCTGTTGGCAGCTGGGTGTGGTGTCTGTATTTTAAGTGGGTCCAAAATGCCCCTCCATCTCTCCATCTTGACCATTCTGTCACCCAGACCCACCAGGACACATGAACATCTACACTGGTGAGTGCTCAGGTGCAGGCATTTCCTGTACTGAGCTGTGGGAGAGAATACACCAGACCATGCTATCTGACTCCACATGGTATCTCCTCATAGATGAGCAGTGCTTCCTGCCCCAGAGCCAGAGCCCAAAGCAATAGGACAAAGAACTGGCAAGTTTTGATGGAGAACAGGAGTTCACCAGGGGTCTAGGGCAGGGCTCAGCCTGGTGCCTGCCTCTGAAAAGTGGTCCACTGGGAACCAGACACGCCGGTTCATGTTGCTCCTGACTCCCTCGTGCTGCAGGTGCTGCAGTGACTGAGCTGAGTAGGTGTGACAGAGACCATAAAGTCTGCAAAGGCTAAAAGATTCACTCTCTGGAGTTTTACAGTGGAGCTTAGAGGCTTCTGTTCTACAGCACAGAGTGCTTCTTGAAAGGAAAATGGGGGACCTGAAGAGAGAGAAGGAGTAAGATACTGAATGGTGTAAAGGAGGAGTCAGAGGGAGAAAATACACCACACAAATAAAAGCTCTCCCGTGACAAACCACAGCTACTCCTGCTCCTTCTTCTTTTTCTCCTCATCTTTCCCTACCCATTCCCTTTCTCCTCCTCTTGGACACAACTGTGTTTTCTTCTCCATCTTCTTACAGGGCTGTCAGCATCCTCCAAAGTCAGGCACTGAGAGGGAGCCTAGGAGACAGCTCCCCTTCATTGTCTGTTGTCAGCAGCTCTTCAGAAATGTGCTCTCGCCCTAGGCCAGGTGATTAGAGTGACAGCTGTAGGAGGACACAGAAGTCCTCACCCTCCTGCCTGTGAACAGAGTTTAGAAGTTGCGCTTTCCTTCTGCAACCAGCCCCAGCTGCCTCTCCCTCTTTTTTTCTACACCTTGTCCAAGCACCCACCCACCTGGATTGCACAAGACCAGATCTCTCTGTTGGCTAGGGTCATGTCGAGAGAGAGGGAGAGAGGGAGAGAGAGAGACAGGGAGAGAGGGAGACGGAGAGAGCCAGAAACAGAGACAGGCACAGAGAGAGAAATGAACACTGGTAGTGTGAACCCTTATCTCAAATCTCTTATTGATATGACAGTGTTACTGAGAACACATGTCTAGGACCAAGAATACATCCTTTATGCTGCAGTAGTAATAATGATGATTACTATATAATGTTTACCTATCGCATCCTAGCCAGTTCTAAACCCTTCACTTAAAGCATCTCATTTAATTCCATTTAACAGCATGGTTACCTTCCCTTTGAGAGAATCGAGTCTTTGGAATGTGTTCAAACTCCCACGTGACCAGCAGAGCCGGTATGGAAACCAGAGTTTATCTGAATCCAAAACCTGTGCTGTGGACCTCTTGTCACATTGCTAACATTTATGCACTCTTGTCATTATTTTAAATTTTAGGTTTTCATACTTACATTATCCAATGTGCTAATACACATTTGCTTCAGTCTATCTGAGGGATGACTGTAAAAGAATCAGAATGACTCTCTATAAGACACTTGCAAATACCATTTTACTGGCCAAACTGGTATAAGACTGGTTTCCAAAGACAATACAATTTCATTTTAAAATGTACTCTGCACTGAAAATTTCTCAGTCCTTCTCAAGGTTGACCACTTTGAGTTACTTGCCTTGGAAGAGATTGGTGTGCCCCTTGGGGTGGAAAATCAGCCCTATTTCCTCAGGAATGTTCCTGAAGAATCACTAATGCCCAAGGAGCAGCCTTTTCATCCCACTAGGGAGGTTCATTTGCTGCATCGAACACTGGGACTGGGGAGTCGCCAAGCAGCCAGATGAGGGGGCCTTCAGGGGGCGAATCTGTGCCAGCTGGGGCTTTCTTTTTTCTACCTTTTAAGCTCTCAGGGTGTCATTTCCCTGAGGCTTTTAGTTCTTCAGGGTTTGTTTTCTCCTTGCTGTTCTGCAAATCTCCTTCTAGGAAGACCTTTCCACGTCTTTACCCAAGTTGGGCTGGGCCAGCTTCTCTCATCCCCCTTGGAAAGAGCAACCTCACAGGCAAAGGCGCCAGGAGCTGTCCCTGGCATGAGGACCCTGGCAGTGACACAGTGGAATTTTTCAGGGTCTTTCTTTTGTTTGTACTCTTAAAAGGGATGAGGCAGAAGGAAAAGGCAACCTTTCCACAACATGTATTAGGCACCGCATGTGTGTCTGGTACATGACAGTGGTACTATGTCACCGTCTGGGTGGGTGATGTTGTCAGTGTACAGATGAGGAAGCTGGCTAGGGACGTCACATAACTAGAGCAAGGCTCTACCTCGAGCCAGCGGTGGGAATACCTGCCTACCTCAGTTTCTTTCCAGTTCAGTGATCTCACAACTGAGTGTTCCCTGTGTGTCCAAGATGTTTGTCTCAATTTCCATAGAAAGAAGAAGCACTGCTCTTTCAGATGAAATAAGTCTCCTGGCTCTGGTAGAGCCAAAAAATTAGAACTCAGCTAATACAAAACCAAAGCAACATATGCAAAGGGGCATCCTGTGCAGGGGCAAGGGGAGTAAGAAGGAAGGCATGTGGCACAGGACTGTGGTCTTCATCGGCGCTTTCTTGAGGTAGGCAGAAGGCCTGGGCTAGGGGAAGCCCTTGGGGCCAAAGTTTTCACTGAGGGAAGGAAGACAGTGGAGTTTCAGGAGACCAGAGATGAAAGAGATTCTTAGGAAAATGGGGACACAACTGCCTATGGCTTTTAATGCCCCACATAGAAGTCTCTGTCACAGGTGTTTCCAGGCCCTCAAAGCACTTTCTCATGGGTGTGAAGTCTGTGGACATAGGAAGTAAAATGTGACTTTCCCTAGAAGCTTAATTCCCTTTCAAAGTTCCCCCATGTTCCTCTCTGATTATGGAATTGAAGGAATTCTTGTGGTTTTTACAGCTACTGTAGTGAGAGTTATTTACTTTGTAGATAAGCGGTGTTGATGAGTTATTGGTGTTACCTGGTCATTCTTCAGTTGTCTGTGCCCATAGGTAAAGTCTAATGCTGGTCATTGATGGCCTTCCATACATCATATTTCCTACCTCTGGCGGGGGCTAGAGTTCTGGACACTGCATCTATAGAGTTACGCATCACCCCTCCAACTCTCATTTTGAAAATGAGATCTAGAGCATCACATAAATAACTGACACTTTTTGAGCACTTCTCATTTGCCAAGCTACATTTGGAGGGTCTTACTGGTATCAACTCATGTGACCCTTACAGCAACCCCAGGAAAGTGGATTCTCTTACATCACAACTTTGCAGATGGAGTAATTGAGTTATGAAGAGTTACTTAACTTACCAAGGCTACATATGAGGTGTGGCTGAAAAATACTGTGAATGTTTAAATTTTTAAAAAATGTATTACAGTAAAAGATGCATTGCCACTGATTTCCCTCAGAATACTCACCCTCACTTCTAACGCACTTATCCCCTCATTCTTGCCACTGTCTGAAACAGTTATAGCTCTTCTTAGTGAGCATCTTTGGTTATGGTACTGTGGCTACTTCTAAGTCCTGAATTGATTTCAAACATTTACTTTTCACGGTCATTTTTACTTTAGGGACGAGCTGGAAGTCACGTGGTGCCAGATTCGGTGAATAGGGTGGAGGAGGACACATTATAATGTGCCTTTCTGTTGGACAACACTCAGCACCAGCATTCACCACAATTTTGATCACACCTTGTAAAGCCACTTTGGAAACAGGACTTCTAGAACTGTTTCAGAAAGTGGCAAGAACCATGGGTTAAGTGTGTTCAAAGCAAGAAGAAGTATTTTGAGTGGGAATAGCGGCACTGTCTTTTTTTTATAATAAACTTAAAAAAAAATTTACACGTTTGCCATATATTTTGATCACCTTTTGTAGCTGGTGAAAATGGAACCAGGATGTCACAGCTGAGGCGTAATGAGGACTTTCTGGTTCCTGCCTCTGGGCTTTAGATGTGCTTTTCTGAGCCTTTTCCTGGAAGCTTGTACATCAGTAGCACTCAGACTGTTGCACTCATATGTGAAAGCCGTCTGGGAACACGCATGGCATTCGAGTGCCTTGTTATGCAACAACATACAGCTCTAGAACGTGCCTTGCGGGAATGGATGACATTTTTTCTGCTTCTTTTAGGCAAAAGTGATGATGAAGAAAGTCTTTGCAAGTCAGCCCAGGGGACAGGGAAAGGAGCCACTGAGGATGGCAAGGACCATAAGCGTCCCAAACGTCCCAGAACCATCTTGACGACGCAGCAGAGGAGAGCGTTCAAGGCCTCGTTTGAAGTATCCTCCAAGCCCTGCAGGAAGGTCAGCAGTGGAGATGGGAAGGGAGTGGAACAGGGGTCCACCTGCCTGGGATGCCAGGGGGCACTGGGGGCCTGAGTGGTAGGGAAAGCCGATCAGACAGAGCTTGTGCAGGTGGAGAGCCCTGATGGAGACTCCAGGGACTGCCAAGCTGTGGCCAGGGAAGTGACAGAATCTCCTCATGACTTCGTGTGTGCTCATCTCCCCTGAGGGGCTCTGGGTGTCACCTTTCATTTCCTGGAGAGTAATAGGAAAAATAGTAATAATAATAGCAATAGGTATCAGTTGTGATACAGACCAAGATGCTGTAACAAAGAATACGCAAATATGATGGCTTGCAAGATGTACTGTTTTTGGTGGTAGTAGTGGTGGGGACTTGGCTTGTTCCCACTGGTGTAGTAAACTGGGGACTCACCCATGTTGTAGTTCATTTCTTTTTGTGTTGAATGGTGTTCCACTTATTGTATGGATGTGCCATGAGTTTTTCCAATTGTCCACTGCTAGGAGTTTGGGTTGTATCCATCGTGGGGCTGTTAAAAATAAGGCTGCTCTGAACATCTGTAGAAAAAATGCAGTGTCTTAATGAGATAGGAGTTTATTTTTCTCTTATCTATAACCGTCCAATGGAGAGCAAGCCAAAACTGATGGAGCAGCTCTGTTATTTATCATGGGAGTCCAAGGGCTGTCAGCGGTTGTTTCCATTTTTCCAGCCACCAGGGCAGAGAAAGAAGAAGTGGAGGCCAGGCAAGCAGCTGCCTTTTTACGGACATACCCAGGGTTTCCTCGCACCAATTCCACTTACATATGTTGGCCAAAATTGAGTCTGACAGCCGTATTTCCTGCACGAGAAGCAGGAGAATGACTCTACCTGGGTTACCACGTGCCCTGCTAAAACTCAGGCATTCAGGTATTGGTAGGAGGGAGAAGACGGACCCTGCAGGCAATTCGCAGTCCCTGCCACAAATAACTGTGCCCATTTTCTGAGCACTCACAATTTATTGGACTGCCTGCCGTACACTATGTGCTATCTTTTTATACACTAAAAATAGACAAAATCATGCTTTGTTTCAAATTCATCAAATAAATAGTTTTTTAAAATTCGTATTATATTTTTTCTGCATCCCTTTCTGTATTAGTTAACTTTCCCTGTGATGACAAAACAACCTAAAATCTTAGTGGCTCCCAATAAATGTGTATTTTCTGCTCCTGCTCTGGATGTGGGTTGTGGCCTTGCTGAGCTCAGGTTTAGGCCTGCTCCCCCAGTATCTCATTTGAGGGTCTTGGCTGAAGTAACAACCCTCCCCCAAACATGTTGTTCTCATGGGGATGGCATAAAGCAAGAGGCCATGTCAGAGCAGTAAGCCCATGGAAAACCTCTCTCTGGATATCACACTGATCACATCCACGTGTGTTCCATGGGCCCAAGTACGTAATGGGGCTTAGCCCAACATGGGAGCAACGTTGAAGCACCCTCTAATCCTGCACACATACACACAGAACAGGGCAGGGATAATTTAGGTAACTGTTGAACAATATATGTTTTGCCACAACTTTGACTTTTGAAAAGACTCACCTGCAGAGCTGTCCTGTCTCTACTCTTGCAGCTCCCTACATTCCCAGAGAAGTTTTTATAGAAAGGGAAGTATAAAGTGCTAAGTGTGCTGCTTACCCGCTTCTTCTTTGTGCAGTCCTACTTTCTCAATGGCCTTGTGCCAAGTACCTGTCCCCAGGCAGCTTCCAGCCAGCTGTTCGGAGGAGATGCACACTGTAAAGCCAAGAACAGCACTGATGACATACCAGGGGCCAGGGGAGCTGCAGGAAGGGAAAGGTCGCTGTGTCCGGGGACTGCAGGGTTTTGTGAAGCAGGTGGCTTCTGAGCTGGGGCTCAGAATGGATAGGGTGTCAGCAGGTGCGAGGGGGCCTGTTGTGTACTTCTGTTGTAGGTGGCTTAGCAGAAGGTTGTGCCTTAAAAACCTGGCCTAATCATCACACTTCTAAGCCTCAGCCCAAGAGGCGTGAGAAAAGTAAAGTATTTCCCAGGGCCTGCAGTTGCTCTACTCAAGTGTGTATTCAGGAACCTCTTTCAGTCCCTTCTCCTCTGGAACTCATCGGGAGGGGGCAGAGTCCCTCAGGCCCACTCTGTGAAGGTCTATGCTTGCTTACCCTTTCCCCTCTTACTGTCTCGCCAGGGCCTTGCCATGTGCCTGGATGGCTGGCAGATGTTTCAGCTCATCTCTTTATTACCTGGATCCCTACCGTCTTCATTTCTGTGCAGCCCCAGTGCAGGTGCCACATCAGAGCTGTGCACCTGGTTCTGCCAGCTTCCAGATGGCTCTCTGGAAAGGGCTTGCTCAGGACAACACCGAATGTGAATAATAGAAAACACCCAAAGTCACCTAGAGCTAGAGGGACAAAGCCAAGAATTTAGGTGAATTTAGACAAGCGAAGAGAACAGTAGAGAACCATTTTGCAAAGTGATCTTTAACTTCAACTATCCTTGAGTAGGTTAATGTGTGTGTATAGTCTATAGCTAAAGCACAGTAGTCTTCGATAATATCTAAGAACCACCTGAAGGCCTGATTTCAGAATAAGGAAAACCCAGAAATACTTTCTGGAAACCTGCATTTAAATGAGTGGGTCTTCCTTCCTGTGTTACCTCTCTACCTGAAAGGAGGTCTGTTCTTGTGTGTGGGTTTATGATGATACGAGTCTCTAGCTAGCCCTGTATAACAGGGGTCCCCAACCCCAGGCCTGTTAGAAACTGGGCCGAGCAGCAGGAAGTGAGTAGCAGGTGAGGAAGTGAAGCATCATCTATATTTACAGCCATTCCCCATGGGTCACATAACCACCTGACTTTGGCGTTCTGTTAGCTCAGCTTAGCTCATTAGATTCTCGCAGGAGTGAGAACCCTGCTGTGAACCGCCCATGTGAAGGACCTAGGTTGTGTGCTCTTTTGAATCATCCCCAAACCACACCCCAGCTCTGCTCCCCCTCCTGGTCTATGGAAAAAAATATCTTCCACAAAACTGGTCGTTGGTACCAAAAAAAAGGTTTGGGACACCCAATGTGGAAGATCTGCCTGTCGGCCTCCCCATGTAGTGCGTCGGATGTGTTCTGCCAGTGTTTCTACGCTGATAATGTTTGCATTCTTCAAGGTGAGGGAGACTCTGGCTGCAGAGACTGGGCTGAGTGTCCGTGTTGTCCAGGTGTGGTTCCAGAACCAGAGAGCTAAGGTAATCCTGCTGCTTCTTTTTATGGGTCTCTGGGTTGCTTGTTTCCTGAAACAACACCAGTAAGATATTAGACTTGGTGCCAGGCTTTCTAACCTGGACTCACTGGACAGAGAAGCTCTCTCGATGAAAACATTCTGTTATCAACAATTATTTCAGCCACAGAAGCTCTGTGGCATTTGTTTTAGTGAAATGACTTTTATTTTTCCAGTGACCCTGAATGTGAACCTGGCCAGCTATTTGTATAAATAAATGTCTTTATGAAAAGCCATATTCTTTATATTTGTTTTTAACTCGTATTTATTTAATCGAGATACCAAAGTTTTTATAAAATTTCAAAGAGAAACCCAAAAAGCACACATACAACTGTCTCGGACAACATTTTGGCATGGTGGGACAAATGACCTCACTCCCATCTTCCAGTGACTGCCCCTTACTGCCACAGCCCCAAATCATCATACTGTCTTCCAAATCCCATCAATGCCTGGGTTCTCCTAGCACAGTCTTTGTTTTGAACTTTTTTCTTTTCTTTTTTTTCGGTACCAGGGATCGAACTCGGGACCTTGCACTTGCAGGGCAGGCTGTGGAACCACTGAGCTAAATCCCTGGCCCATGTTGTGAACTTTTGCTCATTTATCTTCCTACTTCTAAGTAGGCCATGTCCTGGCCTGTTCCTCTGCTATTTTGGTCTTCAGTGGGTGATTACAATGCCCTTATATGATCATGATTGGTTAATGTAGCACTGCCATAACTGAATTTTTCAAAACTGGGCTGCTGATGTGCTATTCCATGAGAAAAAGACTCCCCAGGGCAGTAAGTTTGGGCAGTAAGTCATAAAGCAGAGGAACACATTTAAATATGGAAAAAATCTTGCAATAAAGAAAAAAAATTTAAATGTAGTGTTTCCTTCTCTCTCTCTCCTCTCTCCCTCTAACACACACACACACACACACACACACACACACACACACAAAGACTAAAAGCATACATGTTAACATCTCATAGAACACTGATGTTCCACGGAACAGTTTGAGAAACATTGGGTTAAAATCTGCTTCCTACCTAGAGACATGAATCTCCAGGGTGGTGTCATAAACTCAAGGGCCAGCAGACAGGGGAGGGAAGGGAGAAGTCTCTTGGCCCATCTTATACCTTATCAGAGGCCCTGGCTCCACATCTATCCTGGCTGAGACATCCACATTTGTACAATTATTACCTCACGTGAAGCTGTCCAAGCATAAGTAGCAAGTTGTACTTGCTGAAGGAGATCCATTTCTGAGAAGACAAATGTACCACTCCCAGCTGTGTTCCCACTGCAAAGTATAAGAGGCCCTGGACGTATCCACTTGAGGTGCTTCCCCTGGTGTGGCTCCTTGGCTGAACAAAAGCTTGGGAAACACTCCCTCTAGTTTGCAAACCACTCTCTCACCAAGGGGGAAGGCTTCACTCCCCTTTCCCCTCATGGCTCAGGCATGAGCTGGTGCTTCCCTAACTCCTAATCCTGTGGTCCTCCCCTGTCAGATGAAGAAGCTGGCCAGGCGACAGCAGCAACAGCAGCAAGACCAGCAGAACACACAGAGGCTCAGTTCTGGTAAGCTGGTGGCTCAATGCCTGGAGTGACCTATCTGTTCTCAATGAAGCCCCCCTCATATCCATTGAGAGATAAGACCTTTTAAGTGAGGACTGAGCTACCAGGAACTTGTAAGTGTGGAGGGCATGTGAGCCACAGTCTAGACCTGCTGATTGGAGGTGGCTTAGCCTTATCCAAGCTCCCTGACCTGTGCCTACCTAGATCAGGACTACAGAGTCACAAACTTGTCCTGTGTCTTATCTTGGCCTGTCCTCCTTCTAGGTAATCAGTTTAATAAAATACAACACTGACTTAATCCTTATGTTAGCCTTCTGTCACTGTAAGAAAAATCCCTAAGATAATCAACTTAAAGGCAGAAAGATGTATTTTGGCTCATGGTTTCAGAGGTTTCAGTCAATGGTAGCTTGGTCCTGTTGCCTTTTGGACCTGTGGTGAGGCAGAAAATCATAGCGAAAGTGTGGAGGAGGAGAGCTGCTAATGCTTAGTGGACAGGTAACAAAAAGAGAGAAGGGGCTGAAATTTCCCTTTCAAGGGAATATGCGCAATGACTCAACTTATTCCCATGAAGTCCTACCTCCTGAAGGTTGTAATACCTCCCAGTAGCACCATAGGCTGGTGACCAAGCTTTTAGCATATGTGTCTTTGGGGACATTTAATATCCAAACCATAGCATCTCTTTCCAAAATAATGAAAATAGGTATAGTAAAATAGTCATCAACTCCTTTACCAAGGTTTATATTTGCAAAATATTCTCAAACATATCAACCAGGTCTTAAAACCACCTGAAGTGAGCCAAAAAGTTATTATTATTCTCATTTCACAGATGATCAAACAAAGGCTCTGCAAATCAGGACATGGTCCTAGATCAATAAGGAAAGGAACTGGGATTAGAACTCATCTTTCTGATTCTGTATTCCTCTCAGCTATGCTGCCTAACTTATCCTTACCTAGATGTGACCTTATTTTTTTTAAAAATAGGGATGGTGGTAAGAAGACTGGGGAAGAGAGTGCAGAAGGAAAGGTGGTGGAACTATTCAAAATCACTGTATTAGAACAATGTCACCCTTAAAGGAATGTGCCCCTCACACAAACTCGGTCATCCATGAGAATTCCTTGGATGGTCTGTGCATTGGCGTGGGGCTTCTTACATTTTTTGTACACACATAGATCATCTTTGGTCCTGAAGTGCATTTTCCAACTCACAAGAAGGGTCTGGAGGGCCGGGGATTTAGCTCAGTGGTTCCATCGCCTGCTTTGCAAGCTCAAGGACCTGAGTTCAATCCCCGGTACCAAAAAAAAAAAAAAAAAAGAAGGGTCTGGGTCCCGAGATTCTGAGTTTTTCACAAGCTCCTGCATGGTCTGTGGATGGCCCTGGGAAAGCTTTGTGGTCAGAAGTTGGTTGTCAGGCCCCTCTGCAGAGCCTCTTGTCCTTGCATAGACTCTAAGTTATACTTGACCCCTGGTCTAGGCTCAATCCAGAGCTGGGCTCTTGAAGCAAGAGTTCCCTTAGTTTCCTATCCCCTAAACGTAATGATATTTTAACATGGTAGATACCAATAGAGAGAAGAACTGATACATGGGTATGAATGCTGGGGAGGAAGGGTGAACAGCAAGCTGGTCAGGAGACTTGAATTCTGTTCTCAGCTCCATCCACAATACTGTTTGATCTGTGACTGACTTTCCCATGTCCTTGTGCCTTGGGCTATGCATCCTTAGGATGGAGTAGTAATACCTGCTAGCTCTATACTACTGGGACTCTGTTATGTTCAAAGATGATCACAGATATGTGCGGGCCTTATTAAGAGCCATGTGAGTTGACTCCATAGAGGCCAACAAGTTCAAAGGGAGGACACACTGAGCCACCTCAAGGACACAGAGTTGTAGTGCTTGGGGTTTTGTTTAAAGAATTATCAGGGCAACTCCTAGGGCAGACTTAAGAAAGCAGAGGATGGGGAAAATATAGACTGTGGGAGTTAATAGAGCCATGTTCATAGCAAGAATGTATGATTCCATTTCTCAAAAGCTACAAAAGTGTAGCAGGGTGTAGTTCTTCGTGTCAGCCCTGGGAGGTCAGCTGATCCAGGCTTGTGATTCCCATTTGACTACTGGGCTCACAGTGTATTATTTGCTGGATCTTTAGATTCATCCACTCCGGTGCTTGCCAAACTTAAGTGCAGTGACCAATCCGTTTATTTCAATGATGTGGTCCAGAGATGCTCTCGGAGCTCAATTGCTCAGCTCCCACACTATCTCTGACCTCCCAGGTGATGGTGCCTTCGTAAGGCCCAGGCTGGAACTGCTGATGTCACCATATCCCCTTCTATTTTGTAAGTGAGGAAAGTAGTGGCCAGGAAAATAATTTTATCTGCAATCACACAGCTTGCTCAGCCACCAGCCTCCAAAGGGGCCTTCTCTGAGTCTCACCACCTGGGGTTTGTGCCCATTTGTAATCACCACAGGTACTGAATAGTTCTGAGCCAGAGCGTGACTCCAGTATTCTACTTTGATGTCTCTTGGATCCCTTGCTCTGCCATGGCATAGGGACACTTAAGCAGCCCTGGAGGTGCGGTAACACTGGGACCTGGCAGTGACGGATATGACATCTGGTTTGGGGTGCTGGGCTGCAACCTGACAATGACCTGCTTTCCTCTTTCCCCACAGCTCAGACAAATGGTGGTGGGAGTGCTGGCCTGGAAGGGATCATGAACCCCTACACACCTCTACCCACCCCACAGCAGCTCCTGGCCATCGAGCAGAGTGTCTACACCTCTGATCCCTTCCGGCAGGGCCTCACCCCACCCCAGATGCCTGGAGATCACATGCACCCCTATGGTAAGAGAGACTCAAGCCCCGTGGGGCCCTCTCACACCTTGCCTATGCAGGGTTCTTGTTCCCTTCCAGTCACATCTACGCATTTCCCAGATGCTCACTGAGGCTCCCACACTGAATGCCTGTCCCATAGAATACAGCTGGAGTCACCTAACCAGTAGCTACAGGAGGAAGATGCACATTCATATTCATCTGTGATGTTTCCATTTATTCTTCTTTTCAAAGCTTCTTAGCTGAGCCTCCCCTACTTGCCCAGATTTCTACTTAAATCATCATTCAGCTGGTGAAGCATGGAGACAGAGTAGGGTGGGGCGAACTTTGGAGTGGAAGGTGAAAGTTCAACTTCAGGGTCAAACATAGGCTACAGCGTTGTATACAGAGCAAAGCAAAGAATGAAGCATTGGTGTTAGGCAGTGTGCTGTGTGATAAACTATCCTTATGACAAACAGTAGTTTTATTCAGCAATCCTTCAAAACCTTAGTATCAGATTAGTATCAGTTAGCCTTGTTAACTTACATTAACAAAACAGATCTTAACTTTTTCCCAATTATTAAAAACAACTTCAGGAAATCTCTATTAAGATCCCACTCTCTGCAAGGCCTTCGTTGTCCAACCTTGTTCATACGTACATCTGAAGATACATATATGCACGTTCCAAGGATATCTATCCTTTTTGCTTCTTAAAAAGACACATGTCACATTTGGACCACTCTTCAACCCATGGCTATGGGAAAACAGGGTAAATGAGGATTTTTTTTTTTTTTTAATGGTACCAGGTATCGAGCTTGGGACCTTGTGCTTGAGAGGCAGGTGCTGGAACCACTGAGCTAAATCCCTGGCCCAAGGATTTTTTTTTTTCTTTTGCAAATTCTTACATGTTCAGAGTCTCAGGAGTCTTGCTCCAGAAAAGACTCCAGTAGTAAGTCCTGCAGTGAAATGAGTAATTAAAGTCCACAACAAGTTTTAGAAATGCCAGTTTGCACCTGTCCTGCTTATATGAAATGCTGGTGAGACGTACTTCCCCCTCAGGGCCTGGTTGCAGGGCTCCCTCTGCTGTCCCCCAGGGTGCTCTATGGGCTCCTCCACTGGGGTGCACATTAGCTGAGGAGAGGTACCACGCCTTCCTTTCCTGTGTAGTACAAACCGGGGGAGACAGAAGGCACAAAGTAAAAGGGGTGATTGACAGTTTAAAAAATGTTATTACATCAACAGACACATTGGAGACTATCCCCTTCAAAATACTCTCTCACGTTTAAAAGACAGTGCTTTGAATACACTTATACCATCATTCCTGTCACTTTCTGAAAGCAGTTCTAGAAGTCTTGTTTCATGAGTGTCTTTATGAGGTGTGATTAAAAAATACAGTGAGGGCCCGGGATTTAGCTCAGTAGTATTGCTGCCTGCCTTGCAAGCAAAGGTCCTGAGTTCGATCCTGAGTACAAAAAATAATAATAATAAAAATAAATGAATAAATAAATAAATAAATAAAAATATAGTGAATGTTGCTGCCAAGTGCCAGCCAGTGAAAAGGCTGTCTCATAAAAACATTACAGTGTGTCCTCATCTACCTTTTCCACCATGTCTGACACCACACAATGTCTGGGTCTTCTCCAAAGTCAAAATGACCACGGAAGTTAAACATTTTGAATGGATTCAGAATAGCTATGACAGCACAACCAAAGACACAAAACAGGACTTGCAGAACTGTTTCAGAACGTGGCAAGAATGATGGGATAAGTGTGTTTAAAACATGAGGGAGGGATAAATGGCAATGTGTCTTATTGTAATAATTAGAAAAGATTTAAACATACATTGTGGTTTTTGATCCTACCTTGTATACTCTTACTATTGGAAGGGGCTAATGTCCCTATGGAGGTTTCATTAGCCTTCCTCGAAGACCCTATGTTTGTTTTCTTACCATCCACCCAGAAGCCATTTCTGAGGCCCAAGTCCTGTAGTGCCCCTACTCTGTCTCTCCAGCCTCCGGTGATGAGTTTCACTCACCCCTTCCTCACTACCTGGATAACCAACATTGGCTTAAGATGCGCTCAGTTGAACTTTGCGTCCCATCCCAGTTTACAGTGTGTTCACTTGTTGCACTTTGGATCTGAGTCCCCTAGAAAGACCACCGCTTATGGGCTTCCTCCTTTTGTATATAGTTTTCCCCATGCCCACCCATTCCCTGGCACCCAGTAGAAAGTGTCCCCCAAAGCCACACATGTTGAGTTCAGCTACATTTCCTAACACTGTCGTGAATCATTTCTTCCAGACCCTCATGTCAGTGTTTCATCTCCATTTCAGGTGCTGAGCCCCTTTTCCATGACCTGGATAGTGACGACACTTCCCTCAGTAACCTGGGTGACTGTTTCCTAGCAACCTCAGAAGCCGGGCCCCTGCAGTCCAGAGTGGGAAACCCCATTGACCACCTGTACTCCATGCAGAATTCTTACTTCACCTCTTGAGTCTTCCCTACACCTCTATGGCTAGGCTCCCATATAGAGCAACCATATTATGTGAGGGGTCACTGGCTTTAGGATGGGGAGGCCAAGGAAGAGGTGGGTTGGGAGGGAGTTGTGTTGGGAATGCTGTTGTATAATGATTTGGTGTAGCTTGGCATTTCCAAAGACTGAATACATTATGGATTGCATAGTTTAATGTTTCTAATAAGAGTCTTAGCATTAGATATGAAGATGTGTTTATCATTAAGGACAGGGACTTTTAATATAGACATTTTCATGGAACTAGATACCTAGGGACTCCCAACAACTTCCCACCATTTTGGGGAAGCTTCTGTCAAGAGGTGCATATGTCTCTCCATCTACACACCCATAGACAGACAGGTAGATGTGTGTGTGTGTGCGTGCGTGTGTGAGTGTGTAACTTTCCTACTTTATCATCAAAGTTTATTCCTAATTATAACAGACACCAACTGTACAGCAAAAGTAACTTTATTTTCAGTGTGAACTATATTTAAGGAAATGCTTGATGCACTTAAGTTATAAAATGAGATAATTTACTTTTATAAACTTTATTTTTAGTTTGAAGAGACTTGTCGGCAGGGCAGAGAGGGCTGCTCCACCTGGCCCTGTAGCTGTGAGTGTTTGAGTTCATTCTGTTTTTGGAGTGTCACTGAGGTCAGGGCAACAACTCTGTGTGGCTGGCAGTGTTCTAGTGGATTCTCGCTCTCCTTGCTGTTGGATTTCTGGGCTTGAGTGGGACAGAGCAAGCCTTGATCATGTTCTCAGAAGATATAAAGCCTAGACTCTTGGGCTTTCTTTCAAATTCTTACATGAGGTTTTGGGGCAGCATTAGGAGGGTCGGTTCTACACTTGAGCCACAGCCTCTGCAAGTGTGGAACAAGGCTGACAGCATGCACCTACCTCCCTGGGAGACACTGAAGCTTCACCCCAGGATGCATAAGGAAGGCTCAGACTAAGATCTGATGTTGGTTTAAAATACAAGCAGACCCCCCCAGACAGTGTGGGAGGACACTGGGCACTGTGGAGCAGGAAGGCTCCTGTCCCTGGAGCCCAAAGGCACGTCTGCCCACCAAGGTCCTCTGCCCAGTGGGTGCTGGCAGTGACAGCAGCTCAGAGGTATCCTAGAGTCCTTCATGAGAAAGAGGCTCAGGCTGAGAGGTGGAGGAGGGGTGTGTTCCAGAGCAGGGGTAACAAAGTGTGTCTTGCAGACCAGGTGGCAGGCTGTATATGCCTCGGCAAGCCTGAAATATTTGCTGTCTCTCTTGTCTAACTCTTTACAGAAAGATGTCGATGGTCCCTGTTCTAGAGGGGTTGTCTCTAAACAGCCTCTGGGGGCTTAGAGAGGTAGAGCGGACAGATGGAAACCAGGCTTTTCCTTCTAACACAGGAAACCCAGCAACTCTCATACACAGGGACAGTTCCACACCCTGGTCCCCAACTGTGGCGCTAGGATGGGATCCTTCTTTGTGAGAGGCCTCTTGGGAAACCAGCACCAGTCAAGGGAATCAGAGGGACAGCTGGGCCTCATCGGAGAGGGCCTGTGACAGGCTTGATCTGACTCCTGGGGATATCACTGGAGCCTTGAATTTAGCCGCGTGTCCCCTTCATTCTCCACAAGGCCAGAGGGAACATGTCCCCTTAGGGTAGTGTCTGTGTTGTGTGATTTTTGTTTATAATTTATGCAAACCACCAAGAAACCCAAACCAATCTGATGAGTGAAAAATACACAGATGCTGGATGGCTCAGTAGGTTTCTGTGGCAATGATCAGTTGGAGAATGTAGCAGATATTATGTGATTGAAAACCAATCGAGATCCTCAATTCCACTCCTGAATGGCATACCAAGGTAAAATTAAAAACCTCTTACAAGTGAGCTGTTGTTTATTCCGGGATGGGATGGTGGGCAGAGAACCAGGGGGACTTGGGAGTTTTATCCACAGGGATACAGGGATAAGTTTGCGGTAAAGCTTTAAGGGAATGCAAAGAATGAATACAGCAAAGCATAAGGTGAAGGGGTCTTCCACCTCCTGCCAAGATGGATGAAGAGCCCAGTCTTCATAGAACACCCAAGAAGAAGGCACTGGAAACACTGCTTCATCGCCGTGAGGTTCACTTGCACAGAGAATTTGGGTGACCATTTGCTTGGAAATCCGGATAAAGTCATGGATCAGAAGGAAGTTTTCCCATGCAGGGCTTAAAGCAAATGCTTCTCCAGGATGTGAGAGCAGAGCAACAGCCTGGCTCCCTCCGAGATTCTCCTAGAAGTCTCAGCAATTCCAAATGGGACAGGTGGGTGGGCAGTGATTATGACTATGGAGGAATGAAGTAGCAAAATGGTATGGATGTTTGACCAGGAGGCATATTCAAAGGGTGGCCTCATTGTGACTTTCGTCACCACCTGCAATTGTTCAAACCCTGTTACTCCCACCCTGGGTTCACTCACCCCATTTTATGCCATGCTCTGCCTTCTGCTGATAGGTCCCAAGGAGAGGTGTGTTATGATGCCCATGGAGGGGAGCTTGTACCTCAGACTGGCCTCCCTGGGCTTGTCTTAGTGTGTAGCTCCAGCTTCCAATCCTTCACCATCACTATGCCTGGCCTTCTCAAGAACCCTGCACAGCTGGCTCGGGTGCCTGTGTGCGGGAACTGGGCTAAGGTTACCTGCTGCACCACATAGACTCCGAGTTTTGTAAGAGCTCAAGCACAGTAGGGATTTAGGTTTTTACTCTCATAAAAGATCGAGGAGGGAGTGTGGGTCAGAGGGTGCCTCTCTTCCAGGCATAGTGAAACCTTTGCTCACAGCACCCAAGCTTTCACTGGATGTCTCCATTATTTGTCCCCTTCCAACTCTGCGTGGACACATCTAGAAATAAAGCCCAGCTTCTCCACTTCTATGCAGTGGGCCATCTGCCTCACTCTGCTGAGCTGACTCCCCATGTGGGGTACAGGGCTATAGCACTTAGCGTTCCCTCAGAGGGGTTGTGAGACAGGGCACCTGAGACCCACAAAGCACTTAGCCCTGCACTGGGTGCTGCTAAAGGACACACGTGTGTCCCTGCTATGCTGTGGGCCCACTCTCAGACCACATGTGACAAAAATGAAGAAGACACTGGTTCCCCTAGGCTGAGGCAGCTCCTCCTCGTGTGTCACCCCGGCCTTGTTAAATCTGTATGTGGGTCTCATCCAACTTGAGCCATATATGTGGGCGAGTGGCTTGTACTGTGTTTCCAAGCATGCAGCTACAATTCCAGTTGTGAAGAGACATTATCAACTCTGTCCCCCAAGAGAAGTGTGCAGGTCATCGGTGATTCTCCAGCCATCTGTTATCACCTGCTTTTTGGAACTTGTATCAGGGGACAATTTATGAAGGCTGGGATCAAAGTGGAGAGCCTGGGGCCAAAGGCTGAGTCTTTCTTTAGTGTCTGGGAAAAATTGGAGTTGACCTAGCACAAGTCAAAAATGGGAAGAAGATGAAATTAATTTGTCATTTCCAAACTTCAAGGCAAAATAAAATGTTAACCATACTGCAAGTGAAATCAATGTCCGTCTCCCCCTCTTTTTCTCTTTTTCTGTCTCTGAAATCAACCTGAACTGGATGAAAACTACTTACAACAGTTAGTAGTTAATAATAACTACAGTGGAATGATTTGACTACAATAAAATCCATCATAGGAGTCACAATGGAATCAGAACTGAATCAATGCATTGTTTTCCTGAGTCCCTTTATTTACTGTGGTGTAACATACTTGATGTCAAGAAGGGGAAAGCTATCATCAGGGCTTGAAAGAGGGGCTGGAGGGTTTTTTTTTTTTTTAATGCTAAAAATATAGTTTGTCTACACATGAGTGATGTGGAGAAGTGAAGATTGTGCAGCCTTGGCGTTTGTGTGGTGTGTGACGTTTCCTCGAGGTGTGACCTTAAGCGGGGCTCTCAGCTTCCGTTTCTTCATCTGTTAAACGGGGCCAGTGACACTTGGCTGTCTGACAGGCTGGTCACTGTGAACAGCAAAGGAATAAGTAGGAATCGGCTATGCAGACTTGGATGCTATACAGACTGAAGGGCTCCTCAGTACTGTCTCAGTGGGCATAGCTAGGTGGGCCATGGGAACGACACTCCTACCCGGGCAGATCCCCACAGCAAGGAAGGGATACCCCAGATCAGAGTGTGGAGCTGACTAATTTATCTGGCCCTTGCAGCACCTTATGTAGTCATTTATTCCTTCATTTATTTAATGTTTATTAAGCACCTGGAATATACGAGGTTCGGGGGTAGGTGAGAAGTATACGGAGTTGAGCAGAAAGAGCATTGGCCCTGCCTCATTAGAAATGACAACTTATGAGGGAAATAGCCATGAATTAAAAACTTTATGAAACTTAACTTGAACTATATCAAAGGCACAAAGAAGGAGATGTCTTTCTGTAAAGTTTTCTTCTAACTTCTATGAGTAGACAGAATCTGATAAACTGATGCTCTCCAAAGGGGTTCACAGATCAGGGCTAAAGAAGGAGCTTGTAGCTGGTATCCTACACTGCAGAGTGTCTTGGGAATCAAAGGAAAGAGCCACTGTCCCTCAGTCAGCACATGTGTATTAAACCTGTAGTCGGTGTTTAGTGCATTCTGGCCACACCACATTCATGCTGATAGCATCACCCTGAGTTCCCTTCGGGACTTGACTTTCCTCCGTTGGGTGCACTCTGTGTTGGACTGTAAATCAAGGCTGCCCGGGCTGCTGTAAGCAAGAGACAGGGCCACCTAACCAGAGCTTGGCCAGGCACTCTCCCAGGCTTTAATGGAATGGTCCAAAGACAGAAAGTTGGCTGGAGCTAGTTCATTTCTGGAGGTGCAGCTGATGGATGGCCAAAGAGTCCCTTCTGCCTGAATGCTGAAGCCGCCTTGCACGCCACATTTCCGGGACTGGCCTCCAGATGCCCAGATCTGCCAGTCCCACAAACACCTTCAGCTAGAGTTGCTGATTTCTTTGGGTTGAAGTAAAAAAAACCCACTACCTTTTAGCATTGTACAAGTGTGTGTGCGCATGCTTGTGTATGTGTGTGCGTGTCCTGTTCCTTCTTGCAGCCCTCTGGGTTCACTTAGGCAAATATGCCTTCATTTTATAGATGAGAAACTTGAAGCTCAGAGAAGGTGAGGCCTTGCCCCAGGATACAGAGCTACTAGGGTCAGAGCTGAGTTTCTTTCTGATTCATTTCTCCTGGCTCTTGGTCCTACATTTGTTCCCCGAACTGTGATGTCCAAGGGGTGGGGACAGCAAAAGCCTTAGGGTTACATGTATGCCTCATGGATGAGAGGTGTAACGGAGGAGTCCTGGAATCTCTCCTGCACACTGGAGCTTACATTCTCTTTGAAGGTAAAAGACATGCTTGTGGACGTAACATGTATGTCTGTACACGCCAAGGGTCAGATCGTTGGTATAGATAATGTGTGCTAGAGGTTACTGGGGCATGGGGAGGGAAGAAGAGACTTCTTCAGCAAGGTGGGGCTTGAACTCAGCCTTCAAGGTGGGTAGAATCTAGCTAGATTGAGAGGAGAAGGGAGAGCCATTCTAAGCAAAAGAACTAGTACGGATGAGTAGCGAAAGAGAGCAAGGGGTATGCGTGTGTGATTGCATAGACTGCGCTCTGGCTAGGGTGATGGAATTAGAGGAACTGAATAAGGTTCACGGTGAAGAGGTTGGTGGCAGGAGCATTTTTGTCACTATCTTAGGCACTGAATTCCAAAGTGTGACTAAAGCTGCTAGTTATTCCACATAATCTAGTCTCCTCTACAATAATACCCTACATTTTTAGATGGCACAGCCTTAATTGGAATAAACTCTACTTTTCTCAGTCTCCATTGTAGCTGTGTTCTGGCCAGCGAGATATGCAGAAGTGTCACATGACGTGTTTTAACTACCTTCCTTAAGAGACAACTGGCATCTGCCCTTTTCCTCTTCTTCTATGTCGCTCCATTCTTCCTGGACGGGATGCAGCTGTGATAGCTAGAGCCAGAGCAACTATATGAGACCATGAGATGAACTTGTGAGTGGAGGCTACACATGGGAAACAAGATAGATGGAGCCTGGATTCCTGAGGACCCCTGAGAGCTCAGCTGTCACTGCAGCCCTGAACTATGTCTTGACTTCTATAAATATGAGAAATAAACTTCTCTTTTTCTTTAACTTGCTATTTTTTTTGTGCTTCTTTGACTCACAGACAAATCTAATCCTAACTTACCCACAAAGCCAAACCCAATTAGGAAGACATGGAAGCACATGTTTGCTAAGATGAAGAGGGAAAGTCCAGACCCTATATTCTCAGGCAGTGTGCATCCACCAAGGCCAGAGGAGGAGTGATTGTCTTTGACTCTGGAGTAGGCAGATGATCTGCAAAGCACAGACTTGGAGCTAGGTCCTCTGTCCTTAAAGAAAGGGACGTCAAGGCCATTTCTCAACAAACTTCTCTCAATTCCCCTATGTATATCTGGGCAACTACAACCAATGTGAGATTTCATCAGATTGCCCAGATCCCCAAAGGAGAGTGAATAGGCAATTCTGTACACTATGTCCTACATCTCCTGCCAGTTCTAGCCACCAAAGGAACTTTATAAATCAAATTTCATACACACACATTTACGCATACACCTAAGTATGTATAGATCCACATGTACTTAGAAGTCACACTCCCATGGCAGACCCGTTGTCCACCCTGAATCCCGTGTCTAAGTTACAATTCAGAAAAAGCCTGAGAATGGTGTGTGTGTGTGTTTGATGAGAATTATTGATCAAGTACTCTGCTTAAGCCCTACAATACAAAGAATGCTTCTTGCAACCATCTGCTATAATCTAGGGGGAAAAGCAAAAAAGAGGAGACTGAATTATTACTCTAAGGACCTAAAGACACCAACCATGCCGGGTCTGCTCCATGGACAGGCCTCAGTAGAGGACCAGAGGGGTGGTGTTCGGGAGGATGAAGGCAGCAGGGAGGGCAGGTAGAGCTGGATTCATCACAAACCCTACATCATGCCAATACCCAGCTATTTACTGATTTTAGAGAGAAGCCTCTCTCCCTCTGCTCTCAAGTTTCTGTGAGGACTATTAGAGACACCTCCCAACTTTTCTTCTGGGTACTGACTCACTCCTCCTGGGAAGAGGACACAGTATCTGATGTTTGTGAAGGAGCTGGGTGTGCTTGCCTCAGCCCTGCTGTGTCTGTGGGTCATTGATGCCTCTCTGGCCTGCACTCAGCACGCAGGTATTTTTAGTTCATTCTCATGGAAGGTGACAAGGACATGTGCAGTCAGCGGGGGAAGGGGAGTTCCATTCAAGGGGGTTGCACTGGGGATCCTGAAAATACCTACAGATTCAAGTTCCACTCTTTAGATTTATTGATAAGTTGGATTTAAAAAGAAAAATCTCAATGTGGACATTCCTTTGTAATATTTTCCACTTAGTTACCACTTTGGGAAGCAAAGACAGAGGTGTTATTGTTTCCCTGAAACTCAACAACTGAATACTCATTAGGTATAACACAAAAAGTTCAGCAACCTGAGTTGCTTATTCATCCACCCTCCAACACTGAAGACAGACTTTGTAAGCATATCTGTATCTCTGTAGGCCAGGGTACTACTGTGGATTCCGGTCTGAAGCTTAGCAAGTCAACTTTGTAATGAATATATCCCCATTTTCTGTATGGCAATCTAGTGTCTAGTTCAGTCCTTTTCCCCCTGAGGCTGGTTTCCCTCTCCAACCCCATAGTCACTTTATTGTCTGGGTTCTGGTTAGGGTCAAGGTGCCAAAGGAGTTAGAGGAAGGAGCTCACGTCTGCTGTCACTCTGGGGTGCTTGTCATCATAGCCAATGCCAATGCCATCTGTATGCATAGCTGTCATAATCTGCTGCCAATGTGGGGACATTTGACCTTGATATAATTTCTCTTGTACCTTTGATCACCTTACTAGGAAGCCATTGCAGCTGCCCATTCTTTCTCCTAGTCCTAATCAAGCAAAGAGTCCCTTTTTTTAAATCTAAAATAAAGCTTTTGCTTCATTATATTTCTTCCTTTTTTTTTTGGTACCAGGGATCGAACTCAGAATCTTGTGCTTGCCAGGCAGGCGCAGTGCCACTGAGCTACATCCCCGGCCCTTCATTATATTTCTAATCAAGATGTTTTGTCTATATCTTGGATTCCTTTGGTCAGTTCGGTGGTAAAAGAATATCTGAGAAGTCTGCTTCCCTGCCACATCAAGCTCTGGAACAGAATCAGCCGTATAGAGTGTAATTTTAGCTGGTGAGCAAAGCTTTGCAAGCAGATCATTAGGATAGGGCTGGGCTCTACACAAATATAGGTGCAGAGCTCCAAAGGGGCACAGTGGAGACGGAGGGTTAGGGATGAAATCAGGTGAAGCTGATACATAATAGGCCGAGGAGATGAGAACGGCGATAATTCAGGGTGGGGAAGGACAATTCAGAAAGAGAAAACAATTACAGCGTGAGCGGCAAAGCACACCGCCGACGAGGAGCACAGCCAACGTAGGTAGAACATTGGGAGGGGCTGAGGAAGAGGGGAAAGGGCAGACATCCGGCCGTGAAATGGCACCCATATTGCTTGGGTTCCCCCTTCACAGACTAGGCTTTGCCTATGAGGCGCCAAACCTTATTCAAACCCACCTACCTGTCCTGTGCATCTTCTAGAAGAAGATACTACCATGGAATGGTGTAAAGACAAAGCTTCTATCCTTATAAAGCTAGAAGGATGTATGCAGATTAGGCATACTATTAAATATTTATAGCATGTTTATGTAAGAAAATATATAGACTATTTAATGAACTATACACAAGAAATAACCATAAAATAGGGTCAAAAGTATAGTAGAGACCTAAGGAAAATAAATCCCAACAAATCAGGACTCTAACATGTCAGCCAACCCCAAACACACCCCAACAGTCAGAAATTTCAAATTACCAATGCTATAGATTAAATATTTTACTTTGCATTCAGACATTGACAACCAACACTGACATTTAGACAGAAATGACTTTGCTTATTTCTCCTCTCCTTACATCAAGAGAGGGAAGACAGCACGGGAAGAGCACAAGCTTTGAAGTCAGACATACTCAAGTTGTAATTTACCACTTCATGCCCCACATTCTTTCCACCCTGAGATCCCTGTTTACTTATTAGTAAATGAGGACAAAGATGCCTCTTGCTAGATTGGTCTGAAAATAGAAATGCAAAGTCAGTAGCTGCTTGGAATGTGGCAGTTTTTGTGATTGTAGTTGCTCTACTTGCAAAGCAGTGACTGCCTGGTGTAGGACAATGGGAATGGGGAGAAAGAGGTACTAATTCCAGGTATTGTCGTGTGTCAAAAAGTCCCTGGATTTGATCACTGTTTAGACAAAGAGAGGGGAGGATTAAAAACAGAGTCTGAGAAACTCAGAACATGAAGGGGCCTTTAAATATAGGGAACACTGTATAAATCCTGTCACATCCTGCCCCCTTGTGCAGAAAGATCACCTTTGACGAATACAAACACAGAACTGGGTTCCAACCGACCTTTGTGAGGCATCAGGTACAGGAGGGTGAGAGGAGAAAGGAAGGCTTGGGATTGACCTTTCTGCAGGATCGGAGCACTCCATCAACAATCGCTCTTTGTCCTCCGATCTTGCCTGATGGCCAGCCTGAGATTTGCTGGAGATTGCCTTTCAGCTGGGGAGCTCCCTCCGATGTTATCAGAACAGGGAAAGGGGCTGGCTGTGAGTGACCTTCTATACATCCTTGCAAACAGGGCACAGGGACAGCTGGAGCCAGGCCCTCTGCCAACCTGAATGTCAGAAGCTGAACCAAGGCTGCGCTCTAGGCTGTCCTGAAAGAATGACATTTAAACTGTGTTTAAAAAAAGAGTAAAAAGAAACAAGTGATACTAATTTAATAATTTTTTTATTGAGCCCTATCTATCCAAATAGTATTTTTCAACATGTTTTCCTAGCTACCTTTCAAGGACCACCAGCCACCTGTGGATAGTGGTTACCATGTCAGACAATGTGCATTTAGGCAGCTTGGACCAAAAGAAGAATTTCCAACACTGGATCAGCGGCAAAAATGAAGTTGTAGTTTTAGCTTGAAGTATGTGAATAAGAGGCTCTGTTACAATTTAAATTTATTAGCATTTGCTTGACTTTTACTGGCTAATCAGACCACAAATTGAGTTAACTGTAACTTCTTGTACCCCCCTCTCAGTCTCTTTTTCTATTTTCTTTTACCCTGATGCCTGTGAGGAAGGAAGTCCTTAGAGAATAAGAAAGCAATGGCTTGGTCAAGTACATGCACCCTTGTTCAAGAGGAGTCGGGGCAAATCAGTTGTTGAATCTGGGTAAACGGGACCACCAGCCTACACAAAATATTTTCTACCTTTCATTAGCTAGAGTGGCTGTCTACATTTTTTGTGTTTACTAGGTAATTGCTTGCTGTTCAGCTTGTTTATGACCAAGGATTTGAGCTAAATTTGAATGCAGCTGACTGCTCCATATGAACTGATCCTGGACGCCCTCGACCATGCCAGGCAAATGAGGGGCAACTGATTCAACCTTGCACTTTGAACAAGTTTTTAGTTCCATGCTGGATGTGGTAACATCATTCGTTGTTCTTTTTGGAAACTATCATTCACTGAGGTGGGCAGATCTTACCAAAGTTGACACGTTTCATCATTAAAATAATTTTTTAAAAAATCACATTTGTTAATATCATTAGTGTTTGCACCAGAAGAGTCTCTGAATAGTGGAAAGCTGTCAAAAGCAAAATACAAGAAGCAAATAAAAAATTTGCAAAAGTTTTCCAAAATTCTAATTTTTTTTAAACACTTGAGTTTTATTATTGGCAACAAAACAGTGTTTCCCTTGAAGTGACAAACTCATTTTGCCCCTTTCTTAGAGGATGTCTACTAAATATGTATGCCTACATAATCATAATTCGTCAGTCATCTTTCAGGTATAAAAAAGGAGTTCCATGAGAAGAACAGCAAGTAGGCCAATTACCCAAGTCTTTTGAAGGTCACTATCTTACTTCAGCACTTTGAGCCTACTGTCCATATCATTGCACTGAATTTTAAAAAGTGCACTCACATGTTGAGATTTAAAACAAATAGGTTTTACTTTTTGTTATATTCTGAAGTGAAAAATAGCTTTTTCTTTGTTTTACCAGGGATTGAACCCAGGCCCTGCCCACTGAGTTACATCCCCAGCTTATTTATTTACTTAGTTACTTATTTATATTTGTATTTTGAGAGAGGACACTAAGTTGCCTGGGTTGGTCTCAAAGTTTTAGTCCTCCTGCCTCAGCCTCCCAGAGTGCTGGAATTACAGGCATATGCCACTAACCCTAGCTGCATTTTTTAAAAATGGGAGTGAAGAATACAAGGAGCCCCCTCACAGTTTGGTGTTACTACCTTGACTCACACTCAAGGTCCCAGGAGTTCACTACCCATTGCTTTCAAGAATATTAAACAGAGCAATGAGATGAGGAGATACTTTCTATGCCAGATCCCTCCAGCAGCAGCCGTGGGCTGTGGGGAGGAGAAATTGGGCAGGTAGTGACAGGAGAAGGATGGGTGGCTGTTGGGGCCCTCAGAAGGAGCAGCGAGCACCAACAATTGGCAGATGCTCGCTGCTCCTGCTGTGGGTTTGCACCTGGCCAGGCTGGACCTGCCAGCCCAGGGTGGTGTCTCCCATATGCTGGTTTGCATACAGGTCAGTGCAAGGCACTGGGCTGCCTGTTCCATCCTTCCCTAGTGCTTCTAGGGCATCAGCAATGCATGTGTACAGCAGCTGGAGGACCCTTCTTTGAAGCCCTCCTCTTGCATCCATAATTACAGGTTTATTTCTTCCACTGTCCACCACAGAGGGGAGAAGGCTACTCTTTTCCGATGTGGCCCTGACATCAGTAGGAACTTCCAGAAGGCAAATTTGGTCCCCAGTCCTTTGCTTCCTCCACCCTGTCACAGCGTCCTCTGCATCTGGCTTTTGTACACCTATGCACAAACATACCAAACACACACACACACACAACACAAATACACACAACTAATTGACCAGTCCTTTTTTCCCCCAGATTAGACACAGCTTCCCTCAGGAGGTCTGCTGACTCCTCCTCCTGTGTCTGGACCTCTGCCCTTCTTAGGGCCTTTCACAGTCCCCGCTGTCATGGGCTATGGGAGGCAAAGCTGTGTCTGCTTTGTCACGTTTCTGTGCCAAGACCCAAGAAATCCCAAGCACTGGTATCTGTCAGCATAAGTGGGTGTGACCCGGCTCTGCGGGCACAGCCTGGCTTGTGGCTTCCTAAGAGCTCAGGACCTGCACCCTGCAGTCTCAGGTCAGAACCCGGCCACATAGCTGTTGGCTGCAGAGAGCAAGGTCTGGGACAGCAGGATCTGGAGCCAGCCCCGCTGGGTTCCTCAGCCAAGCTCCATTCAGCCTCACTCAGCATGACTGGTCCCACTGTGCCGAAGTCCAGGTGCCTCTGCGGAATGGGATGACACTGGTGCCGACTCCTAGGGTGGTTGCACGAATGGAAGAATGCCATGCACAGAAAATTCCCCCACAGCACACAGTCATTCGAGAGAAAATGCGGCGCTTCTTTTGTTAATCTTGCCACTTGCATCTCTTGGTGCCTTCTCTCTTTGACCATTCATTATGGCCAGTGCTGACTCCACCTCTAAAAGGCCCACATTTCATACTCCTGGGGACCTTGAGCTACAACTATTATTACTGCTGCCACCTGGCCCTGTTGCCCGGATCCTTCAAATGACCCTAGCGGCCTCTCAGCCGAGTCCCAACTCCTGCCCTGTGGGTGCCTGTGCTGAGGTGGGCCAGGGTGGAGATGATGGGTGGGAGCTGTGGAGGACTGGCATCCTCAGCAGTGGCTCTGCCCAGGAGCTGGTGTCAGGCAGACCCCTCGGAGACACGCGAGCTCCGTGAATTGGCTGCCCCCATTCTTCTGATATATGGGTGGGGAGACTTGAGCTATGCAATGGTTCTTCTGACCCTGTGTCTTGCAGGCCACCCACCTGAAGGTGCAGCTAGGCACAGGCTGGGCGACATTCCTAAACCTTCTTTTAGACTGGAGAGTTGGGAGAGGGGTGGCGGCGGGGGCACTGAGTCAGCCAGCGGGCACAGGTGGAGCCTTTCTCCTCAGGTGAAGAATGTGGTTGGATTCCCGTGGCCCCCAGGGCCCTCTCAATTTCTTGACCCAAGCAGCTCCTGACCTGGCTGTGCCCCCGAGGTGAGCAGGTAATCCTCGCCCCTTCACAGCCTTCATTCTCACCCATTCAGCAACCCAGGACCTGCTCCTGCTGCCCAGGGGCCAGGTGAAGCTTATTGTCAACACCCTTTCTCTGTCCTTATCTCTGATTGCAGGAGAAAGACTTTGCCATTCAGTTTCTTTTTCCCTAGGCAGCAGCCAGCAGGAGGGGGGTGGGCTTTTAGTCCTAAGAGCCTCTAGAGGCCAGTGCTCCAGAAACTCCATTACAGGGAGGTCTAAGACTTGGGGCCAAAGCATCAGTGGAACAATTAATATTTGCATAAAGCTTTGGTGGGTAACCAGCCACCTTCCAAGCATTGCCATACCTGAAAAGTAGAGGAGACTAACCCCAGCACTTAGCTCTCATGCCTAAAGTTAGGAAGCTTGACTCTCTCATAGCATCCACTCCACAGGATACAAAACAGAGATGTAAAGGCCCCAGATATACAAAGCTGCTGGTCCGTGTGCTCAGACCCAGCTTCCTTCCTCCCTCCATTCCTCCCTTCCCCCTCCCTTCATCCCTTCTTTCTTTCCTTCTTCCTTTCTTCCAATTTTTAATGAGTACAGAAGTCCCCAAATGTAGGGGTTTGATTTAAGATTTTTCAACTTTACCATGATGCAAGAATCATACATTTTCAAGTAGAACTGTACTTTGAATGTTGCCAGTGATGTGCAATATGATCCTCTCGTGATGCAGGGCAGGAGGGAACTGCAGCTCACAGTCCATCACTGCACCATGAAGACAGCCCACACCAGAGTGTACTGTGTTGCTAAGCCATGGGGCTTGGTGCGTTAGATATAGTCAGTGTATTTTTGACCTGCCATGTTTTCAGCTTGCGAAGGATTTGTTGGGGCAAGGCCCTGTCATGAATCGGGGAACATCTGTGTGTGCTAAACGCCCAGCATCACAGTTGCTGAGGTCATCATGGGGAAGAAAAGACCTTCCCTTTCATGGTGTTTGCTGTACCGAAATTCTCCATGCTGGAGAGTTCCTTTGGGAAATTTTAGTTCTTCATGTATCTGCAACTTTAAACACCAAATTTTCTCACTTAGTCACTATAGGCCATGTTCTGACATTTAAAATTTACTTTAAAATAATTCCGCATAGACAGTGTGATATACTATGCTGTATGTATGTATTCTCTAGGTTCTTCTAAGACTTTTCACTTAACACTGATGTTCCCAAGATTCATCTCAAGAGTCACATGTAGCCTTAGTCCATCATTTCTCTGGTGGAAGAGTAGTGCAATGTAGAAACAGACCGTGAAATGATCCATTCTATTGGTGGACACTTAGCTTGCTTCTGATTTGAGCCTACTATGAAGCATCACTGTCATGAACATTTTCAAACATGTGTCTTGATGGACATGCACAAAACTGTTTTGTGAACTGTGGATGGTGACTCAGTATTTAAAAATAATAGTTAAGAAAAGTTATTTTCTTTCATATTTAAATCGATAATCTATTTCAGTTTTTCTTTTATTTTTAGGGGGTTTTACTTAATTCAGTTTTTTAATCTGCTCTTTGATTTTCAACCTTCTATTACTGAAGTCTTATTATTCATTTTTATACGCTCATATGATAATTTGACTTGAAATGTATTTGCATCTTCAGTCCTGCTACCTGCTATTCTTGCAGGATTTTGCTGTGGTGCATACTTCTATGTTGATTTGATTATTTTTTTGGCTAGATAATTTTAAATGAAAGTTCCTTCTCTGACACTTAATCTTGAACATTTGATGCCTGGGATGGAGATGGTTTTTCCAGGGTGGATTTGCATTTGTTTCTGTCAGTGTGGAACAGTTTTAGATTCTAGGATTGAGGTGTTTTGAGCATCCAGGTGGTAGGAGAGCATTCCTGAGTTTGGATGTGTAGTGGAGATAATTCCCTGTACCTTTATCTAAAATCCAGAGTGTGGTACAATTGGTTTTATTTCATGTTGAAGATGTGCCTCTCTGGGGTTCTGCCTCTATGGAGAGATCTGCTACTGGACTACCTAACCTGAAACTCTTTCTCATTTCCTGAAAGAGCTACACAGTGGTCTAGAAGTTAGCACTTTGACAGTTAGTCCCAAAGGATATGCACTTAGTTTAGTGAATAATGAATATGCACTGTGTGGCAGCTACCATACTCTGTACTGGGAATATACAAGGACAATCAAATTCTCGTATCAAAGTACGATTGGGAAGTTGAAAATAAAGTTTCTCCACCAAATAAATTTAAATAAGTACTAGAAAAATATACACTCAAGTCTTTATGACATATCATGGAGGGGGAATTAATTTCAATTGGGAGGATGGTGTTTCCATTGGGTCTTAAATGATGTTTTTCAACAAGCAAAGGTTAAGAAAGGACATTCTAGACAGAAAGAACAAACAGCTTGGACAGTGGCTGGGAGAGGTACAGAATGGTAAAGGTGAAAGTTGTCTTGACAATTGAGTATAGTTCTGGCTTGGGATGCAGTGGAAGAAATAGAGATTCTGCAGCCAGACCAGTGTGATTTTGGCAGGTATGATGAACTTAGGGTGCAGCTTCTCACTTGTGAGATGGAAGTAACAACATTTATAGCATTTTTGTGGGCATTTACTTAGCAAGTACTTCAAAAGTACACCTTCTACAGTGTAACATCTACATTTAAGAGAAGAGGAAGCTAAGGCCCAGAAATATTATGACTTTCCTAAAGCCACAAGACTTTTTCCCCATTATATTTTATTTTTAATGTTAACTTAAGATATACTCACACTGGTTCCTTTTCAACAAAAGTTGAATCTCCTTTTGTTGACTCGCTATGCCCACACATTAACTGTTTAAACACTTTGGCTGATAGATGCATAACTGGTTGGTTGTTTGGCCCAGCCAACAGAATTACAGCCATCATTTTCGGGCTTATCTCAACTGTCTTCTCTTCTTGCTAGGTGTATTAGTCAATTTTCCTGTTGCTAGAACAAAATTCCCACTACTTAAAGGAGGAGAGATTTATTTTGGCTCACGGTTTAGTCCAGTCAGCTGGCTCCATGGGAAAAGCACCATGGTGGAAGGCACGGTGGAGGAAATCTATTCACTACCAGGTGGCCTGAAAGTGCAGAGAGATAAGGAAGGGGATGCGGACAAGAACACATCCTTCTAGGTCACACCCCCAGGGACCCGCCGTCCACCCAGGCCCCATCTCCTCACAGGAAATAATCCACTGATGAGCATTGTGACCCAATAATCCAATCACCTTCCAAAAACCCACTTCTGAGTGCATAAGACTTTTGAGGGACATATTAGATCTACAGCATTAACATTGGTTTTGAATTCTTTTATACTGAGAGAAGCTGGACTGATTCTTGCAAACACTGTTAGTGTTAAGTGAAATAATGATCTTCTCTAGAAAAACCATATATATTCACAAAGAAGGTTTGCTTTGCAGCATGGTGTGAAAGCTACACAATCCACAAGAAGGACATGAAAGCAGAGTGTCTCATTTTAGTAGACAGATTGAAAAGTGACAATTTCCTCTTGGTGCTGAAACTTAATGAGTTAAAACAATTCAGGTGTGTTCTCTTATAGTTCTGGAAGACTGAAGTCTAGAAGGAGGCTCATAGAGCTAAAATTAGGGTGTTAACTGTGACGGTTCCTCCTCAAGGGTCTGGTAGAGTATTTGTTCCTTTCCTTCTCCCTCCTGGAGGCCACCAGCATTCCCTGGCCCATGACATCACTCCAGCCCCTTTTTTCTGATGTCACATCTCATACTTCTTTAGGTAAATCTTTCTTTGCTCACTCTTAGAAGGATACTTCTAATCATATTTAGGTCCCTTCTAGATAATCCAGTATAACTGCTCCATCTCAAAATCCTTAATTTAATTAAAATCCCTTTCACTATATTCAGTATCATTCACAGGTTCTAGGTATTAAGACATGGATATCTTTGGGAGCCATTGTTCAATCTCTTACCTCAGTGTTTTGTTTTCTGCTGGGCATGAGAAGATATCATAAACCTTTCCCTCGCAGGATTCTCATATATGATCTCATTCCATCCCCAGAATGACCCTATGTCACTTTATGGAAGAGAAGACTAGGAGAGCCGATGCTCAGAGAGGTGAGGTGGTTTGCTCAGTGTAGTGCAATGAAGTCAGGAATTTTGTAGCTGAGTTCCCAGGACTCCTCCCTTGTCTATATTCTCTTGAGCAAACAGGGTTACAGCCAGACACCCCATTACCCAATTAGAGCCATGATAGAAAGGGACCAGTACCCAGACCAGTACTCAAATGGCATTGGTTCTCAGAATTAAAAAATAACAAGTTCTTGGGTCTCAGCAATTTGGGCAGACTAATAAAAAGGGATTATGAGACTCTTAGTTCTCCTACTTCTGCAAATAGGAGAGAGATGGATTTTTCTATGGAGATTTCAAGTGTGACCTCTGTACCACAGGTACATAGTCCTACATGATTGAAATATAGTCAAAGAAGTAGAATATGATTTGCCCAGAAAACTAACTTTCTAAGTGCTCTTTCTCATAGAGGAAAAAAATTAATTTCCAAAAGTAAGCTAGCTGAGACTAATTTATTTAGGCATAAGATTATGACTGATGGACTCTTTTTCTCAGTTCTGTGTAGTTCATGTCAGTAAGTAATAATTTTAGGGCTGTTTAGACAGCAGACTGAGATAAATTACACATAGTAATTGGATGGCACTTGAATCATAATCAAGACAAATAGTTGGCTAAAATGCCAAAGGGATGACTAGGAACATTCATACATGAACTTACCAGATCAGCGAGTTAGTGTATTTTTAGACTGAATTCATTGGTATTAGTATGGCCTCAGACAATTCAATCAATAAATGAAATGAAGTCAAACCAGTGCATATGAACTCAGCAGTAAAAAGTTCATCAAATAGCTGAGTATCAAACAGTCAGCCTCTTTGACTTTCTTCCTCACTTGCAATCATTCATTAGGGGCTGTGTCGACCCAACTCTGTTTACTGGTGTTACTGTATTCCCAATTCACCAAGCACTCCCATGGTCTTGCACTTTTCTACCCGAACATCTTGAAGACAGGGCATCAGGATGTGAGGCAGTGTGTTGGCTGGAGTAAGGGTACAGACGAGGGAGTCATCCCCTGATGGGTCTAAGTCCTAGCTCTCTGTGTAGGGTACCATGCTGTGAGGTCTTCACGAAGCCACTTTACATCTCAAGGACTCAAATTTCTTATACAGGAAATGGGAAATAATAATAATAGTACTGTGCCCCCTTTAATATTTGTGAGTATTAAAATGGTAATTCATATAAAGCACATAGAATAGGATGGAAAACATAAAAGTCACCCTGCAAGAGAGTTAGTTATTAAAAGGCAAATGTGTATGCTCTTGAAGTAGTGAGGAAAACAGGTTACCCACAGAATGCAATCCAAAATAAAAAGGTAATTCTTAGACTATCTTAGGCTCATGATATCGGAAAGTTCCAGTGCTTATCATTGATAAAGTAATATTTACCTCTTTTGAATGGCATTAGGACCTCAGCTGTGAGTGTATGGTTACCAATGTACTCAAAACATGGTGCTTCTTATACCTCGTAAAACTATACATACATTCAGCTCAATTGAATGAATGAAGCTTTAAAAGTTTATCACCTCCAAGCTTTGGCAATTGTGTACATGTTGTATGTTAACCAAACATTAAACAGGGCTGGGTTAGGGCCATTGGAAAATCTGAGGATTGGAAACCACCTGCTACATTTAGCTTTTCACCTAGAAAGTTATCTAAGACTCTCACATTTCAGTAAGCTCTGCTTCTGCCAGGTAGGTTGGTAGTTAAGAATCCTGTCTTCTTTATGTTTACAAAACCATGACTCTCCAATTAGCACATAATTCACTATAGGTTCCCCAGAAAGCAGAACAGTGTAAGCTTTGATGGAGAAGTAAGGTGATGGGGACCAGGGCTGAGTCACAAATGGAATACGGCATGGGAGGTGTGAGCTAGCCACCAACATAGGAGATGGTTCTCTTGATCCCACCAGCATTCTGAGAATCCCCATGAAATTCATCTCAAGGTTGTCCATAGAGAGCATAGGGGGAAACTAACACAGTGGCTTCTGTCTGCAGTTGGTCAGTTTGGGCCCAAGGGATATGAACTCTTTGCACCCTGGGTCAGGCTGGTAATGGTCACAGAGAAGGGCAGGAGTGGGAGTGAGTAGCAAAGGTCTGTTATGACAGATTGTCAGTCACACCTATGTGAAGCTCATCCTAGCAGTTAGGGCACGGGGACTGAAGAGATGCAAACACAGAGAATATTAAAAAACACACCAGAGGATGGTTTAAGGCAAACCTAGGTAAAAAGCTAAAACACGTGCACTGTTTTGTCACTGAATAGAGGACTCTGAGAAACAATATGCAACCAGATCCTGATAAATTTGCATTTTTTCCACTAGTGGACACAAAACTAAAACTAAATCACGCTCCTCGAGGCAGTTCCTGCCTCCATTGTGCAGTTAAAGCATCTGTTACATTAAATAGCTGTACCCAACCCAGTACCAGCTGATACGAGTTTGGTTTCCAGCTGAGTTCATATTAGCACTCTTCTTTCTTGATGGAGCCTGGATCGCCACCTTCCCATTCCAGTATACTGTGCCCTGGGCCTCTGGACCTTACTTGATGGACAGCTGTGAATGTCCCATGCCCCTGCCCCATCTGGTACGTTGCTGGGGCCCATCCAAACCCCTCCCATGCAGAGCTCACTCTGCTCTCCTGACACCATGCAGTGCCAGCATCTCATGATGGAGAATGATGTGCCCAGCACGACCTTCTGCTCAGGTGCTCACATGTATGACATTCCTCCCCACCTCTGTGCCACCCTACAAATGTGCTGCCCCCATTTGAAAATGCCTTCCCATTCTCTCATATTCCATGAGCTAGCTACAGGCTCCTGGTTTTCAAGATGCCACTCTGCACTGGCCCCATCAAACAATAGTCCTTTCTTTTCTCAGAATCATAGCGACACTAGGTCTATATCCAGTCTCTATTTACACTACATCTGACGAATCACTCATGCCATTGGTGCGCTGGTCAACCAGCTCTCCCATTGAAAAAAAAAAGTCTTATTTTAGCATTTACCAGTTTCCATGAGGTCAATACTCTCACCGTGGTGAATTTCAAGTTGCCAACAGTTTAACAACCAGTTTGCAAGATTCCCAAATATTTAACAATGGGCTCCCTGCTGAGGATATCACTGATTCATTTCTCTGATAAATTTGATCACAACTATTGTTTTAACCACTCGGTCTAGTTGTACTTAGTACACTGTACTGTGGGCATTTGATTATTGGCCTCAATAAGAGCTCAGTCTCACTCAGGATAATCCCCCCTTCTTAAAATGAATTGATGAGAGACTTTGATTGAGCCTGAAAAATCTCTTTTGTCATATGACATATCATAACCACAGCAGTGACATCTCATCAGATTAACGGGTTCTGCACACATCAGCAGAAGGGTATTGAACACACGTGAGAATTACTGGGAGTTATCCTAGAATTGTGCCTCCCATAGTACAGCTACTAATAGTATTTACCTCAAAGGGTTATGAATTATACATGAATTGTATTCAGAATAGTTCTTGATGCATAGTAAATGCTCAGTAAATGTTAGCCAAAGGCATTACTAAATGAGAATTTTTTTTTTTTCCAGAGAAGGTTTTTGGATTATTTATCTTGGCTCCAGAGTTAGGTATCATTGGGAACTCCTGAGATGTTTGTTAAGTGAATGAATAAATCTCTCACATACAAATACAGGTATAAAGTATAATATTTTCCCAGTATAAGCAACTTTGAATATCATTTAGTCCAATATCTGAATTTTAAGTATCACAAAATCAAGGTCCAGTTTGGTAGTGACAGTATAAGGTTATTGATCAAAGGCAGAACATGGACTAGATAACAAACCTCAGATCCCTTGTCTAATATGTTTACTGCATTCCCTGTGTGCTGCATAACTCGACCTGGAATTGTCTTCTCAGGTGTTCTCGAAAGACTCTCAGCTGCTCAGGGCAAAGGGAATTGTTCACATTTTAGTGCATCTCCTTGTAGCACCTGGCTTACAACCAAGCAAACAAAGGG